ATTTTTCTGAGCTATTGAGAAATGACGCTCGTGTACTAATTAATGAATATGTGAAAAGTTTGAGAGAGAAAAGTTTGCTTTAACCGACATTTCTTGAAAATGGTTTTGATGGAACAATTCTTCCAGCGAAAAATAGTTCTAAGAGATATTAATATTTAAAATTTAAAATATCTAAATTGGCGAAGAAAAATGATTCAGTTTGATTTCGGCATTTCAAAACAACTGTCTTAAAATACGGTAAAACTGATAGCTGTTCTCGTAGGCCATTAAGGCAAGGGGTACGATTGTTCTTGTTTTTCAGTGGCGCCATCTGTGGCCGAGAATTTGCTCCTGCCACATCCATACGTCACACCCGTTTATGGGGCGGACACATTCATACATTCATTCATTTATCCACAGATCGTCATTTTGACCTCAACCAGAGTACGATCAATCTTCAATACAATATCCAAAGAAGTATAATTTCCTATGGCAACATGGAGGACTTTGTGATCCAACTGATTTCACGTCCACCAGTCACCATTTAATACACGGGGAGTGTTCGGCAGGTCTGGATTCGAACTCAGTTCACGGTTCACTTCATTGATACGGATTATGTTTGTGTAAATCAGTAGGAATATATTAGAAGTAATTTTACTCGCTGACTAGACTTTTAACAATTCAAATAGGAAATGGTTTTAATCACTCAATAAGAAGTTTTTTTATTTCAGAATTCAATATGAATGTTAAGATTTATGCCGGGCAACATTTAACCCTTCCCTCTCTCTCTCTCTTTTTGCTACTTTTAATTGCCGTGTACTCGAGAGCGAGAGAATAAAATAAAGAAATAAAATTTTCTGAAACAATGAATAAATCGTAAATATTTAAAGGAAAAAAATTAGAAAAAAAATCAAGAAAAAGCGCTTAAATTTACACAATAATTTTCGAAAAAATTGGAATTTTGAAATCAAATTCGTTTAAATGGCTTTTTAAATACTTCAAAATTTGACTCTATAGTTGCATTTCAGAGCGCAAAAAATTGATTAAACATGCTAGTTTTTCCTTGCAAATTGAACAGTTTGTAAGGAACTTGGAAATTCTAGACCTAATTGTCGAATCTTTAATTTTTTTTATTCCGTCATACTCCTGGAACTTTTTTATGCACACTTCTGTAAGTCTTATTAATTTTGTGCAGAATAACAAAATATAACGTGAAAAAAATGTATGAAAAATACACAGAAAAAATTTGTTAAGTTCATGAAAAATATGGCTTTTTCATCATAAAAAATTTCAACTCTGTAGTTGTATTCCTGCGACCTGTGAAGCGGCACGTTTAGCATTTTTTCCAACTTTAACAGTCATTCTATAAGCCTCGAAGTAATTACTAATTGTCGAGTTTTTTATTCCATTGTAATCCCAATAAATTGTTCCGCACATTTTCGTAATTTCAAGTTTCTAAGTTTCTATATTTCTGTGCCGCAAAACAAACTGCAACGTTAAGTTAAACACCCAAAACAGCGGTGGTGAATTTGAAATTCTTTTTCAATATAGAGAGACAATAATTGTTCATTAACTTTTCCAAAATTGCATGACAAAGCATTATTATCAACAAAACATTATTATCATCCAAAAAATTAGCTTTTCTTACGTTCATTTAAGATTATTGCATTTTAAAAAAAAATTTCAGTAAAAATGAAATATTGAATTAATTAACTAAAACTTTAAACGTCACAGTTTTGTTATGCAAATGATATCCATTATCTTTTTTTTAAGCAAACAACAAGGAACATAAACTGGATATTATTTCTACGTAAAAATATTATTTTTAAGTAAGAATATAATTTTTACGTAACCTTTAAAATGCTTTCATAACAATAAAACTAAACAGTAATAAAAATGTTACGTATTCATATCCACAGCGCACTGTTTTGCTACTAGTTTTGGCGGCAGAAAGAAAAGAATTATTTATTATAATTAAGAATCCAGTTTCATAGCGGGTTCTCATGCTAATTTTTTTCCCATTCTTTCCTGAAGAAATTCGTTCTTACACATTTTTTCCAACTTTGTACTTAACTGTCCTCTCTTTGTGTAAACATTGAACAACAAAAACAGTTATGGAGATGGAAAAAATGATGCTATACATCATTTTCTGCGCTGAACTATCAAGTATACGTTGGAGAAATTATGTAATCAAAAGCAATTTTAAATAAACAAAAAGATAAAAAAGGAACAAGAAAATGAAAAAAGTAGAAAACGAAACGTTAAAGAAGTTGTTTCATCGGAGCAAAATGAAGTATGGCTTTTTCCTGAATACTTTCTTTTTTATGGAGACAAGTCGAAAATTTCTTGGCGCTCTTTCAACTCAAACAATGCTACTTTTAAAACATTATTTAAATGTTGTATTTGCATTTTTAAAGCACATTTAAAAAATTCCATTATTTACAAGCCCATTCTTTGATAAAAAAAATTATAAAGTTATGTTAATTAATTTTAATTGGGAAGTTATGAATCAATTTTAAGGTCATAAACCTTTTTCAGGATAATAATCCTTTAAAAAGTAAAAGCTTAGAAAAATTATAAGAAAAGAAATTATAACTAACTAAAGAATAAGAATTTTTATTGATAAGATTATAATTTTTTTTTATTAAGGCTTGAATATATTAAAGAACTTATAACAAAGTAGCATTATTTAACTTTTTTTGATTCTTAGAATGACACAACAAAGGATAAAATAAATTGAAAAATAAACAAAAAGTTAGCTAATTATAATGTAGTCTACGTTCATGCATAATTTATTTACAAAACATTTTTTTTCAATAACTTTGTTATAATAACTTCATCTTCGATATATGTGGTTTTTTATTACCCATTTCTTGAATAGATTTCAAATTTTTGTTTTGGAAAATGAAAGTAGGTTTATGAAAGAAAAGAGAATTTCATATCTTGTTATTAGAAGTAAAAGAGAAAAATTTTAACTACAGCTCTCACTGCCTAACACTCAGTATACTAATAACAGATAAATATAACGTCTACTGTATTAGACAACTTTTCGTACTACTTTATATCTGAAAAAATAGTATTTTAACATTTCATTTTCTATTTGCATACTTTTTGTAAAAACAATGGGGCACATGCAAGTGACGTAGAGTAAATATCTCGATCTTGATTGGTTGTTGAAACTTGGCATTTGTTTTCGTTAAAACTGTTCTTTTCATTCTATTTCGAGTATGCTAAACGCGGCAAGTATCAATTTTCTAAAGTGACACATTCTATATTCTTCCACGAAGATTTCAAGTATTTCACTACATATTTTGCTAAGGATAACGACAAGCTCGAAGACATATAGAATATAAACAAACTAATTATGCATCGAAGTTGCCAGGTACACGAAACAAAAATATATCAACGTTACAATAAACTACGTAAAGAAATAAAAAATCTAAGTTGCTTATTGAAAGACGTAGACGAGAAAAAATTATATTTTAACAATTTCGATGTCTGATACGTCGTTGTATTTAATTAACTTCACGTTAACTAACATTCTATCTTATGTGGAAAAATTTAGTTTGACTTTAACACGGCATATTGTTTATAAACAATCAGCTGGCGCTAAGGACATAGGCCTCGTGTCTGTGTATCAGTGATCGTCTTCTTTTCGAGTTGCAAGTATCCAATTATCTATGCAAAAATTTTTTTAGATTTATCCTCATTGGTCAGTTTCTAATTGGGTACTTGCACTGCAAGAAGAAGACCATCTATATCCACACATGTGACCTATGACGTCATCACCAACTAATCGCTTGTAAGCAAATGTTGTGTTAAAGTAGAGCTAAATTTCCCCACATAAGTTAGAATATTAATTAGCATGTAGCTAATCAAATACAGTGCTGTATCACACATTGAATTTAATGAAATATAATTCCTTAGATTAATTATTTGTTTATGTATTTTATTGTAAACATGTTATATTTTTGTTTTGTGCACCTGACAACTTGAATGCATAATTAGTTTGTTTATGTTCTACATGGCTTCACAATTGTCTTTGTGTTAAGTAAGAAATATATAATGAAAGAATTGGAAACTTTGTGCAAGAATCTTTATGTAAGAATCTTTGTGTAAGTGTCTCTGTGTAAAAATACAGAATGTATCATTTAAGAGAATTGATGCTTGACGGGATTGGCTTGCTCGAAATAACAGCCATTAACGTAAACAAATGCCACGTTTCAACAACCAATTAGGATCGAGATACCCATCTACGTCACTTGCATGTATCCCATTGGATACTTTCAGCTCGAAAAGAAGTGGAGTGGTTATGCCTAACCACGTGATATAAATCAGATTTAATTATATACCTGTAAGTCACGCGTATGTGTGAAACCTGATTGAATAACATAGGTCACGATTTAACAAAGATGACGTCCCTTGCAGGCATCCAATTGCAATGATAGAAGATAAAGGTAAGATATTTGATTCCAGGATACTTTATGGCAGTTTTATGGTAAATAAATATCTTGTTATTTTAATCTAGGGCAGTTCGTTTCCTGGGAATATAGGGGAACTGCTGCGTTAATAGATGTGTAGCTATCTTATCACTGATGCTGTGACGAATTTCGTATCAACAAACAATGTAGACAGTCATTTGCTCAATTTGACGATACATTGCGCGGAAAACGGTTTCGATCAATAACAAAGGAATTTCCCTGAATTTACAGTATTTATTTTTCATAGTGTTGATACTCAATGCGCAATCACTATCTGGCCAATAGTCACTTGCGCAGTCGGCATCGTGATATTAGGAAGGAAAAAGTTAACCGGTCAGAGAGGCGATAAAAATCTTTCTCAATTCCTTCGATATGAACATACTTAGTAATTATTAACGAAAGTCAGCATTAGCTTCCAAATCAAAGGAAGTCTGCTATTCATTCTTTAATTATAGATAGCAAAAACACAATAATGTTTATTACTGAAAAATAAACAATTTTATGAAATAAAAAGGGAGATAGAAATTTCGTAACTCTTACCTTGTCTTGGTTGAAATCGTTCTGTAAGCTTTTTGCCGATCTTTTCATTTTGTGGATCATATTTTGTTGTTTGTTTATCCGCAGAAATGCTTCGACTTTTAAAAGGTTCTTTGGAGTCGGATTCATCAGCAGTTTTGCGTCTCCTTAATTGTTTTCCCTCTTTCGATCGACCTAAATCGCCAATATCTGAGAAGTAATATTTAGATTCATTATCACTTGTTGGTATACTTTTTTGGCGCGCTCTGTGGCGATCGAAATCCATCAAGCTAGGAATTTGTAAACCTGGAATAAAAAATCTAAACTTAATTTTATTGTTAGAGATATTTATATGATATCAAATAAAAAAAGAAAGAAAAATATTCCAGCTCTTGTTGTTAACAGCTCAAAAAAAAGTTTAATTGAATTAAATAGTAAACATTTAATGCTTAAAATAAAATCATGTTGTGGATGAAAATGTTGTTGCACCCTAGACATTACTCTTTTTTTTAATCGCCAAATTGGCACGTTTACAGAGAGCAGCCAAGAGTAATCTAACGCAAACACTACATAAGACAACAAATAAAAAAAAAAAATGCAAAAAAATGTATTTGGAGAGCTTCAAACTCACTGAAGGAACCCAGGTGTGGCACCTGGGTCGAGAGTCGGTTGGTCTCGACCCGGGCATCTCGTGGCGCTTATTAAATTAAAATTTTCAAAATACGGAACCATAACAACAGGCTCATTGATAGACATCAGGTGCACCAAATACAGAAAAGTGTTTTAATAGTGCAATTTCCAAATAACTCATCCATCATATAATTCAGTGATAAATGATAATTAGGTTAAAGAGAACTACAGTGAAATCATAAAAAAAACAATGCTGCTTACATAAAAGAAGTGATTTATATTGGGTATAAAATTGTTCTTATACTCCCTGCTCCAACAATCATGCGTTTCTTAGAAAAATGATTTATGTTCACTTACAGATCTTAATAATATCTTCAGGGAAATATTGGGACGTGGAGGTACAAGTGATTTTCTTAGTATATAAATTTTCAGTTGAATAATTTCAATTGTTTTATGCCAAGAAATAGCAATTATTGCGAAGCATTCATCGGGGTTGGCGAGCGTGAGAGAACAGGGGGCTAGCCCCATAGTAATAAAAAATTACCCACGAAAGTAATTACTTAAGATATATTTTTGATTTTTTTTTTTAAATAATTTCAATTCTTCTGCTGCCTGCTATCCTGAAACGTGCCGAACTCATACATACAGTGGTTTGTCTAATTTAATGGCAACCGGAACAATTCAGAATTATTACTAAAATTCAATACGTAAAGAACTTGATATTATCGAGCACATCTCAGGAAAACAGCTAAGATTGAAATCAAAGTATATTCGCACGGGTAATAGCTTGAAGGTGAAAAAATTTGATTAGCATAATTGTTCAAATCTAGTTAACTACTGGAGGATGGATTGTAGAACTACAATATTCAAATATTTTTTTATTATTTCTTTTTAATTAACGGCAGGCACTGAACTTTCGTTCTTCGCCTTAGAGGATGCCGGAAGTGTTGCTTATTTATCGTTACCCAGTGGGCACCTGTGAACCAAAGTCACGGAGGCGAGCAACATTAACCACGTCACACTACCACAAATACCCGTTCATAGGGTGGGCCACATTCATACATTCACACATCAGAAGACAACAGAGAGAGAGAGAGAGAGAGAGAAACATCCATGCCCAGAGCGGGATTCGAACCCGCAGTCAGGCACGCTAACCACTCGGCCACCTGGCCGGCTATTCAAATATTGTTGTGCAGTGCATTCGATTTGGCTACCAGTAAAGTTAATATGTTGTATTAGAAAAGTTTGAAAGGTGACCGAGCAGGTCTCCAATAGCGGCAAGTAAACTAATAGTTGATGATCTTATTGTGACACATAGACATTTTTTGATGCTTCATTGAGTTCATTATAGAAATTAATATGCTTCCTCGAAAATTTGAGCTGCATTGCCCAATTATGATTAACTTCAAAATATTTTTGATTAAAATATATCTTTTTAAATGTGAATATTTTTTCTGTCACTTAAATTAAAGTGATATTTAAGACAAGTGGTCCTAAATTTACTTAACTTTCTCTTGAATTTTTCGGCGCTTTTTTACAATGAAGTCTTCAGTTTACAAAAATTATCAAGTTTGAGTTAAATTTCCAAATTTACTCAAAATTTCTAATTTTACTTAAAATTTCTAAATTTATTTTTCATTTATAACTTCAAATTTCTTTTTTACATTTTTTTTTGCAATAAGATCCTTGACTTAAGTTATATATTTACAAAAATAATTTTGTATGGCTGAAAGCTATTAAACGAGTGCTTAAAATCTCAAGAATGTATCATGAAGCATAACATGATTACAAGCTCATGAATGACGGAGTTATTTTACGTGAACATTCGAATATAACGAAATAATGCACTGAAAGCTTATATTTCGAGGCTCATTTAACTAGTTGGTTATTAATAATAAGCTGTCTACTAGTAGATTAAGAGACAGTAATTTAGCAATGCATTAGACTGCAACTTCGAATCAATAATGACTAAAACATGGATTCGATGCGCTTGTAAATTTATTCTTATGGTATATTGTACCATGCATACTTTAAAGCAATTTATAACTCGTTGCTTAGCCGGGAATTAAAATTGACAATTGTGAAATTGATGTCCCTTCTGGCTTTAGGAATTATTCCTGTCGATGAGAATGTTGTACATTTTATAATTAATTATAGATTGAGCGCAGAGTTAATGTGAGAGAAAATTGCTGATACTTAATAATATTCCCCAATTTACTGAACGTGCCTATTTATGCTATGGTTGTTTATTGCGATTTTATTAAAACAAAAGTGGGAGAAGAATTTGAGTATAGCAAAAAATGATAAAGATAAAATCTTTTGTGAGAAAGAATTTAATTTCTTAGGTTTATACATTTTTGCATTCATTTAAGGTTGTTTGTCAGAGGCTCTATCATCACCAGAAATAGCGCCTGTTTGCAAATAGTAAGTTATATTCATAACGACTGTAAATTTGTAATAGTTATGAATGTTTAGCCAGCGCTCTCTACGGTGACTCTAAAAATGTCAATAAGAAGAAAAATCGCAGTTTTTTGAAAACGAAAGGCATTTGAGATTGAATATTTTAATGTTTAAAAGTAATCTCTACGCTGCATTATCTGGTCTTAAAAAATTTGAAAAAATACATTACTCATTGATTTTGTTAATTTTCATCTAGGTAGAAATATCTTGCCAAATTGGCGATTTTTTAAAAAAAATGGTTTAATAATTTTTAATGCAGTCAAGGGGACGGGATAGTTGATGGGTTCGATCATTCACCAACCGAAGATTCCCTGTGTAGTAAATAGTGACTGGTGCACGTTAAATCTGTCGGGTCAAAATGTCGTCCAAGTTTTCACAACAAATCATACCTTTGGGGGTACTGAATTGGAGATGGATCGTTCTATAGTTTAGGTCAAAATTAAGATCTGTGGATGAATGAATAGATGTATAAATGGGTTCGCCTTGTAAACGGGCTGTGAAGTGTGTATGGCTAAAATCGTACTTTTTGCCATAGATGGAGCCACAGAAAAATAAGAAACGCACCCTCTGCCTTAAATGTTCTTGGTTTCACCAAGCATGTTTGCTGGTATTGGCGAGTGCCCTAGAAACAGCAACACCAAAGTAGATAAAATATTTGTCCCCTAAAAAGAATAAACCCACCGAAAAATGAATTTTTTTCAGAAAGTTTACTATGTTGTTTTCTTATAAATTTGAAAATTATTACTATACTTTTTAAAGTTTAATAACATAATCACTCTTTTTAAAGTTGAACAATCTTATGATATTTTCTGCACTTGGTTAGAATATATTAGGGATCAACTTGATCAGAAATATGTAATACGTCATTAGGGTAGCAGCAAATTTTCTCTGAATTATGGTATTAGGTAACAATAATATGATTCAATTGAAATGAATTTTCCGAGAATATACAATAAGAAAATAATGCAAAAGTTAGTAATAAAAGTATTAAAGTCAACAATAAAAGTAATAAAGTAAACAATAAAAGTAAAAAAGTAAGTAATTTAGTAAGACACTTGTAAAATAAAATATTTTAATTAAAAAAAAGTTAAATTTCGCTTTTCTACTTACAGCAAGCTTTTGATAAAATAAAACTTTAATTTCTTTCTTCAAAATTGTCGCAAATCGCAGCATTAAAGTATATAATCAAGCTACATTTTCGATTTAAATAATCTTATTTCATACACGAAACGAAACAGTTTTATTGAGTTCTTTGCTGAATAAATCTCTTCTTTAAAATTATTTCTAAAAAAAAACTTACAATTTTGAGTTTAAATAATCCTTAAATTAATTTTGATGCTTAAAACTCCGTAAAGAAGGGTAAGATCATTAAAATAAAACGATGAATTTCAGATAGACCCTCAGTTTTGATTATTCCCTTTCATTCCATCATAACGTCATCGGTATATTCCATAATACATTTTCTTTTTTTTTTAATTTTCCTTTAAATAACGACGATAATTATAAAGTAATTTAAAAGGAAAAAATGAAATGAGATTCCCTTGAAGGTTTGAGATGAAAGGCAATTCGTTTATTTATATTTTTGAACTGAATACCTGCTTATGATTTATATCTTTTTCATTTTCATTAAAATTTTTGTTGGGAGATGAGATTTATCTAACCCGTAATGAACTGTATGAGCTGAACTGGTCTTTAAGAGAAGAAGTGAGATTTTTTCAATTAAAAGAGGCATTATTCATCACATTTTATAGATTGAGGGAAAAAATATTCCAACTTTCTTTACTTTTCTGTTTTAATAATTTCTTAACGTATTTTAATATTTTCCTTAATTTATTTCACGAAATTGCATATTTATATTATTATATGCATTAGAAAATTTCGTGATTGCTTACTTTTTTGGCAAATAGCAAAAAAAAAAAANCGGGCAACAGAGCGAGACTCCGTCTCAAAAAAAAAAAAAAAAAAGAAAGATAAGATTTAAGACATAATTTGGAATGAATCGACATTTTGACAAATAAGTTCCTTTTTTAAACAAACGCAACGGAAAGTAATTTTTTTTAATAAAATTGATAAACAAATTTAACTGCTTCTGGCAAAACAGCATCTGCTGCAATATATTAAAAAATACCGGAACTATTTAAACTGACCATACCGCGCCTATAACCATCTAACTCAAACTTAACCTACATTTTTTAAAATCCAATTTCATAAT